CTGCGCTACGATTCCCGTTCCGGTACCCACAACATGTACCGCGAGTATCGTGATCTGACCGTTGGCGGTGCTGTCATGCAGTGCTATAGCGATATGGCTTCGCACCACCGTGCCCGTGCCCACTCCATTCAGGTGAGTTGCTTTTTGGTAGTATTGACCCGGAAAGAATCACTGATGCGAATGTTTTCCCAACAGATCATCAAGGTCGAATCGGTTGAGGCCTCCAAGACCCGTCGTGCTCACATCAAGCAGTTCCACGACTCGAAGATCCGCTTCCCGCTGGTGCAAAGATACCACCACAAGCGCTACAGGAAGCTGTTCTCTTTCCGCCGACCGGATACTTACTATCAGTAAACCAGGAGCCGCCGTTCATGTACTGTTAATTCCACTCTTTTTTAGGGAGTAAAAATGATGAAGATCTGTAAGAAACCATGTGAACATTCTTCGTGATTCGTTAAGAAAGAAAATCCGTGAGTGGAATAAAAAGTGGATCCTACTGGTTGGAGGAAGTTGGTTCAATGCTTCCCTTGAGAACAACTATTTTGTGAAGATGGATGAGTTTGAATTGGCGATTTCATGCCGCATTAAATTTAGCAATGACGGAAATTCGTAATTGAGTAATGCGGTGTGAACATTTCAAAAGGGCCGAATTGCTTTTGTAAGCAATGGCTTTAGACGTCGATTACTCACGAATGAAAGCTCACAGCTGGTAAACTTCGCCCTGTACTAAGTGTATAAGACTGGTAGTTCTCTACGGGCACGAGTCTCTCGAAACGGATTTCCCATACAACGGAATAGAGAAAGGGGTGATCGAGAAATTTGATTGTAATTTATGTAATCTACCCTGCTGGTAGAACCTTTTATCAAGTCATGGAAAATTCATCATACAATACTTTAAGGTCCAGCGGTGCTCAGCTGAAGGCATATGGTGGGCCATATTGCAAGTTTCTAAGTAAAGTGTCTTTAGGGCTATTTGTGATTATAGGTACTATTTTTAATAATATTAAACGTTATCAATATTATAATTTTTATTTTTTAAAAGCATAAACCTCAGGACAGTACTCAATGATGTCCTCAGGGATGTCCTCGAGAGGGTCCTCAGGATTATTCTACAAAAATTCGTTTTCTAATTCAATGATAGTGACAGAAGTATATCTGTAAATATCGCGCGAGATCTTTCATTGAAAATGACATTTGCCAGCCCTGGTTTTAGATGCACAAAAATTGCACGAGTACATTACTATGGTGATAAGGTTTATTTGTTTTCTTCTGTGAAAGCATGTTTAGTCACAAATCGTGGATTTTTAGATATTCTCCATACTGCAAAAATGATTTTCCTACCACTGAAGGGGTGACATCTCTCGGATCTTCAGTATAGCTACTACTCATATCATATAATAAATTAATGTAATTAAAAAAAAAGTAAAATGTAATTCATGTACTTTAATTACGATATTTTTTTCAACTGTAATTAATGGAGTTAAAAAGTAGTTAATGTTCTACATTGTGTAATTAACAGGCAGGGCACGCTAAAAATCGTTAACCCAAATTCAATATTGTTGAAATAAACATGCAAAAAAATCGCTGATATCCTGGGTCACATAAATAAACCAAGCGTTCTGAATAATTTGGCAGGTTAGTTTGGTTTGTTTACTCATTTGAGAGGTTCAGATCAATAAAAAGCAGATCATACCAAAGATGAATACTGTCAAAAATGAATGATTAAATCAGATCATGGATTGGTCTATTATAAACAACATATGATGTAAACATTCTTGGAAGTGGTGCCAGGATTGATGAAAAACTATCTGTTATGTGGAGACTGCCTGGGTGGCAAGGTGTTTGGAGTGTGTTTTTGTGGGTGTTAACACAAGGTGGTAGAGTGACTTACCCCCTGAATCTACTCAATCCAGCCTCGATAAGTACACTAAAAGCCTCTTCTGGTGACATCATTCCTCGTTGATCAGTTAGTTGAGCCAGCATGGTTTTAGAGCTTTTTTGGTTTTTTTAAAATATGCCCAATAACTTTAACTAAATTAAGATCCTTTCGATTATAAGCGGTCCGTCTTGCAAATAACAAAGCTTTCTCGATGGTATCGAATTTTGGATCAACTGCTTATTTATCGATGACGCGACGTTTTCCTCTTTCACTCAAATCCAAGAAAGGTTTTGAAGGTCATCCACGTTTTGTTCCCGAGGCCGAGGTTGAGGCAACACATTGCTCCTGTTCGATGAATTTCTCGATGCCAAATTCTCCATCAAGCCAATTCCGAAAATACGACTCAAATCGCTCTTTCGTGCGATTAGCTTCATGCCATTTGTTGATGTATTTAGTAACGATTTTATGGATCTTTTCATCGAGACGTTTACGTTTTTCCACCGAGATGTTATAATTTTCACAAATGAATTCAATGGCTCTGTGGACATTGTCACTATGGCTTAATTTTGTGTCTAATAGATTAATAATGGTTCTATTATCCATGCTCACACTTGGTCTCAACCGTAAATTTGAATTACACTGTAGTAGTTTAAATAAAAGCTACACAAAATACACTATGGCTTCAAATTGACACTACAGTAGGTTAAGTACAGGCTTAGGTATAAATTAAACTCATCCGCGCATATGCGTAGGTACATACTTACGCATATGCTTCTATAATTGTCATAACCAGGTACTTACTTTAGAATAAAGCATAAGCGAACTTTATGATAATGATGACTTCTTTTTGTACAAAAGCTTAAGCCCTTTTTAAAAGTTGGTCATGAAATATTAGAAAATGTTTTTTAACAATATCTCCAATAACAATAACTCCAAAAGTTACAAAATAATTGTTGAAAAAGTTTGTTTCCAAGCCGGCTCTTGTACAATTTGAAATCTCCCATAATAACCGAAAATTTTCAAATCGCTTATATTTCCAATGGGGCAGGTTGGGGCAGGCAAACTCTTTAGTACTTGTTAGAGTACACTCAAAACTTCATCCAGAGCTGAGAATTAGCCTGGGAATGTGCGAGACTCGAAAGTTTGTGATCAATAAAGTTAAATTTTCATTAATTTTCAATTATTTTTTTTTCTATTTGTATTTTTAATTTTTTTTTTGTCTCCATCAAATTTCCAAATGGATTTTATTTTCGGAAATCTTATTAAATTACCTTTCCAACGATGTATGATGATGTGGTAGTTATATGATAAATAGTGGATGAAATTTTATTTGAGTGGTAGTGTATTTTTGCGTCAAAATTTGTACATTTCTTACTCTTTTTTTGACTTCGACATCCCATATCTCAGAAACTAAAACTGCTAGAAGCTTGAAACTTTCAGATTCTCTTAGTTGAAATGTTTACTATCGACCAAAAATAACGAAATAAGGATTAGTGAAAGTCGATTTTTTTTTATTTTTGACCGCCTGATATCTGATAGTGCAATGGTTGCTGCCGAGTAAAGAGACGATGGCGTGACACACATCGAGAGTGGCCTGCTTCTGTCGACAGCCGAGTGAACAGTAGTCGGCGTTCTAGTGACTTACAATAGAACATGAAAAGTTCAATATCGACTCTATTCAGACGATTTAAAAAAATCTTTATTTTTCAATAATATTTTTCTATTTAAAATTATACAGAGTTCACACATTTTTAAAATCTTCAACTAACAATAGCCAAGCCTTAGAGCGCAAAGTCATACAGAATGAAGATTTTTTTTTGCAAAACGATGCTCTGAAACATGACGCATCTTCATGCAAAAAATCAGCGCTCAAGGAATTCATTTACCCCCTGACGATATTATGTAAAGAGGTACCGACGCTATCTTTACCCCTTGTTCAAAAAGCCATCCAATCCAATGAACTGCTTGCTTCCTTGGCCTGATTTATGGTTCTGTAACTGACAGGTTTTCGTTATGCTATCAATAAATTACAAATTACAAATTACAAATTTTCACCTTTGACTCAACGTGCGTACTAATTCCGTCTGTGAAGTTGATCTGTGCTATCGCCTTTCATGCAATTTTCTTTCAAAAAAGCCCAAAGCTCTCTTGTACACAATGTTGTACTCAAGATAGTGTACAACGTTGAGAAGACTTAAATAAATGTTATGGCGATCCTAATTCGTCATCTCTTTCACTCTAACTCTGTTCTAATCTCGGTTCTAATGCAATGATCATTTAGACGTAGCATTTGTTGTTACATAAAAATAGCGGAAGAATGAATAAAACGACAAATCCGTATTGTAGGACCTGTTCTCCAAGACATTGTGATAAAATGTGGTGAATTTCCAAATTTATATGATCTACCAGTTCTTATAGGAAATTTATCTAATCATATTGAAAATCTTCATGTTGGAATCTTCTATACTACTTTGTAATATTTAATTTATTGTAAGCAACAGGTAATAAATATTGAAATTCAATTGATTATAATACATGTTTTTAACTCATGTGTTATTCTTAAAAAAATATTAGTAAAATTAATGTTTATTTGTTAGAAGAAAACTTCTCAGAAGGAGAAACATGATCATAAATTACTGTTCAAAAAATTTCCCATACCGGGAATCGAACCCGGGCCTTCTGGGTGAAAGCCAGATATCCTAGCCACTAGACCATATGGGATATATTCATAGGGCTGCCAAAGTCTAATCATAAATTATGATTACTGCTTTTATAATCATAACTGTCCCATGTTTTATGAAATCCTTACGGACCGAGCTACTCTTATGCGTATAACGGAGGATTAGATCTAATAAGAGCATACAAAGCATTCTGTGTATCTTGTCTGACTTTTTGTGATTATTTAATTTTCTCCTCAGAAACAGGTCCTGTGGCGCAATGGATAACGCGTCTGACTACGGATCAGAAGATTCCAGGTTCGACTCCTGGCAGGATCGCACTATATTTTTTAGATCCCTGGTCTTTCCTTTCGAAGATGCAATCCGACATGGATAAGAAGACGTCTTTGTACGTCATGCAACTAAAGAAACTTACTTCCATTTTAACAGTTTATTCGAAAAAAAAACAAATAGCTAAAGCTCACGCAAGGAAACAATAAGTTACAAACTAGTCCTAAAACACCGCATTGACTAACATTTTGAGAAACTTCGCATCTTTCAATACCGATATCATTCTCCTTAACTCCGATGGTGCGCCTCCGATTCCCTCCAGTTCCGCTTGATCATCTCGATTATCTGCACATAGAACAACGACTTGGAGAAGTAGTAGCAACTGCACACGACAATGAAGATCCATGCAACGTACAGCCAGTAGTCGGTTTTCTTTTCCACCTTGTTCGACAGGGGCCCTTTAAAATCCTCCGAGATGTAGTGTGGAACGTTGATCGTCATTTTGTGATTCACCAACCGTGGCTCAACGCCACTGTGTTTCGTTACAAACTTCACCAACGTTTCCAGTGTAATTTCGGTTTCGTTGAACTTTACCAGTGGCCGTCCCTGGTGGAAGAACATGATGGTTGGTAGTCCTACAATTCCGAATTCTGTGTTCAACGAATGAAAATTGAACGCATCGATTGCCGTAACTTTCAAGTCCGGAAAATGACGGGCCAGTGCGTTGTAGTGTGGAGCCATCATAGCGCTGTGAATGCAAGTTTTCGTGTAGAACAGCATAACGACGCAGTTTCCGGCCTGGGTTCGCTTGGTGGAGTTACCGTGCGGCGCAAGGACGCTAATGACTTCTTTCAGCGAGTAGATTATATGCAACGTTCCGTTTCCCTTGGCTGGGATGCATTTCACCTTGAGTGAACGCTTCCCTTCTGTGACCTTGGGATCTTCCACTTCCTGGGCTTGCTCCTCGTAGATCGAACAATACTGCTTGTCCTTGTAGGTGATGTAGTCTAGGAACGAATTGGGGCTTTGGCCCTTTGATGGCATAGTCTGCTGTACTTCATCGCTCTTTGACCTTCCTCCGCCGAAGGGTTTGTAATCCAGAAAGTCACCATTGAGGATGTGTGCATAAAACTCCAAGCCACTGAAGCGAAATGCACTGCAACAATGGATGGCTGAAATGATGCGTTCTTAGCTGTTATTGCTAATTGGTTCAGAGAGTAATTATTAAGTATACTTACAGATGATAATACTTAAAAGAACGTGCCAAACTTTCATATTTTTGTAAGAAAATTAGCTAATATCACTTTTAGTTTGTTTTGATTACACTGGGTACTGTTTGACGTTTTACTTTTTGTTCTTTCGGATGTTTTCCATGTTTTCGCGCATGCGCAAAATAGATCCATATGTAGGTATGCTTCAATTCTGCAGTAGTCAGTATTGTGTTGCATTGGAACGGGTCTGGCAATGTAAATTTGTAGTGCACGTTCGGATAGAAATATCTCCATAAATTTACTTTTTGGCAATTGCTATACTGTTGATCATTCATTATATTCATAAGTCAACTAATAAGCAGAAGACATGCAAGAAAGTCAATGCAGATCATGTGTCAAATGAAATATCTCGAATTACGAATTTTAAATTCAAGGACCTTGAACCTTACAACATTTGGGTGCTTAAAAAATTTATTGATTTATAAATTTTATACCTACTAATATAAACAGACATTCAATTCAAAGTTTTGAAATTAGGCGACTTCTAATATTCTTAATTGAATTCAATTTTCATATTTCCAAATTTAGTATCCCATTCAAAATTAGGCTCCAAACATGTACAATCAATGTTCAGGTACTTACTGAATCATGTTTATTTACAATAACTGGAGTGAACATTCACCAATGAAAATGCATTTCATATAACAAACGGGTTTAAAATACTTCAACATATTATTTCCGGATGTTTTATGTTGTAGAATTATAACAGATAAACTGAACTACATTTAAGTTTGTCCTTTATCTTTGTTCAAAAAAAAATATATATATATCAAATAGCGAACTGTGTAATTAAATAAATTGAAATTCAATTAAATTGTTTCATACTAACATATTTTTGAGAGTTTGAACTATATCAAAATCGGAACCAATTCAATACATTGTAGAACAACATTTGAAATGGTACTATCAACTTTAATAAACAAAACTTTGGTGGTTCTTTTCTCGCCAACCGAACGCAAACTAATAGCATCATCAGATAGGGGAAACTTTTCACAACCCGATGATGGTGTTGGTTTGCGTAGGCGAGCCTTGAGTAACGAGAAAATGGTTTTCGAAGTTTTGTTCGCAAAAGCTGATGTGCGCTTTTCTGTTGTTGGTCGTATAATATGCTTGATTGGTTTCGCTATTTGACAGCTCAATTGGTTCCCGCACGGAGAACAAATTATAGCAGACGTAATTATTTTTTCGGTCAAAATAACTATATTGTTCAATTGTTTTAGAGATAACCCGAAACTTTAGTTGATTTGACTATATATAGAGGGCAACAACTATAGTCCATAGTTGGCTCCTCGGTTGGCCCAACTATATTTTTCAATAGATGAACAAACGTCAAACTCCAAAATACAACTATGCTTTAGTTGATTCAAGAAAACTATTGTTAGGAAAGCAACATTTTACAATGTTTATTAAACGAACTGCTCTTCATTATTGACATATGAAGGAAGTTTGTTTTGCTTCTTTATCGATCTCAAAAACACAACTGAAAAATCATAAAAAAAGTGTACAAGAACATTCAACTTAGATTTGAACCGTGTTCATCTGCGTGAGAGCCAGCAATCTTATCGCCTGCTCTACGCATCACAAGTTAAAATTGTGCGGATTTATGATGATCAGTTGAAACCGAATTATATAAATAAATTACATTTGACGTTTGTTATAATTGATCAAAGTTATAGTTGAATTGAGTATAAGATGAACAGTTGAATCTGTTAGGTGGATATGATTGAATTGACGGTCAAATTAATGTTGGAATAACTATAGGTTTCTTTCAAACAACATTATTTTTCCATGTGAAAGTAACTATTAGGATTGTTATCTTAACTTAACGAATTTGTTCTCCGTGCGAGATTCTATCCGCCAGACTATATAATTCTAGATAAACATTTCAAAAGGTCCTATCTGCATTGAGCGATTCTCTTCATCGACTTTCTCTTCCATTAATAACTCAACTTCAAAAGTATTCCCTGCTGTGTTCAACGTTCTAAGCACAAGATAGGAACTGCTGCTATCCAACTGTGTGGCAAAATTAGCACCAAATGCATTTGCGTAGGCATGGTTATCAGAAGAGAAAGTCGATGAAGAGAATCGATCAAAGCAGATAGGACCATTTGAAATGTTCAGCGACTATAATTTGAACTGGGCATATTATATAGGGCTGTATTAAAATTTTCAAACATTATGGTATCATTTTGATAAGTCTTTTGTCCGGTTTTCTTTCGCTGATATATGCCATTAATGTTGCAAATCGTAGACTACGTTACAAGACAATAAGTTATAATCTCCATTTCACAAATAACGACGGCAGTTCCAATATAGCAGATGAAATAAAAGTTGAACACAAAAGCGAAGTTCCAGTTGGGCCGATATGACTATGAAGAATAGGAAACACTTATCAAAACTTCGATTTAAATAATCTTCACTTCAAAATTGCTCTTACTTCCCTGGTGACAGAATTCTGAACTAAACTGTGCACCATTCAATAGGTCTTGCGCATCTGAACAATTCGACCAAAGGCAGCGAGTCCCTTCGTACATTAGTGCCGCCTGGTGAAGAAATTTTCAACTAAACTGGCCACTATACATTTGATCAAGCCAAAAAAGCAACCATCCATCTAGTTGAGCTTTCAAATTAAAACAAGTAATTATAAGTCAAATCGTATATTCCCGGCGCCTGGTGTGAGAATTCTGATCTAAGCTGACCACTATACAATAGGTCGTGTAGACAGCAACCTTCTATCTAATCACGACTACGACTTATTAAGAATTTTCCTAGATTTTTTTTTCTACTGGAAATTCTACTTTAATTTTTTAAGAGATTTCTTCGAAGTGCTAGACCCTTGAAAAAAATCCAATCCCAAGAACTTTCAACATAGTCCAAATTCCAGAACCTTCAACAGCAATGACCCGATTTCGCCAACCCCAGAATTTATAATTTAATAATTTCACATAACCGTATTCCCAAAAAAATTTAAATCATTTTAAATATGGATGTTTAAGGTATACTTTAGTGCAATAAGACTACTGAAAACGCACATGGGTTTCGTAGAACATTAGAGAAGATTTTCAAAAACAGGGCTGACAAAATCGGGTCAATACTGTACTTATTATGTTTTAAAATGCAGGTTCGTGGATTTTTTTTAAAAGTCCGGTGCGTTGATATTTTAAAAGTCTCATTGACTAGCACATTTAGGAAAGTTTCAGCTATTTAAGCTATTTTGAAGAGAGAAAAATCACGAGATGATATACTTTTGTCCGGTACTGTAGGGCAAGGACACACTTGATCCCCCTCGGATGAGTTTCTACAAAGTATCTTCTAGACGAAAGGTAATGTTATGGTGACATTTGCGTCAGATTTAGGAACTATATTTTTTCGTCGGTGATTGGCTCTAGATTGCGGAACAGAGACCGACGTTAAATAAAGTAAAGAAGTAGGGTAGATAGGGGCAATATGGTCCCCCAAAGAAAAACACATCATAACACATGAAAAAATTTGGAATGTGAGAACTTCAGAGCGATCACCATTTTGAATGCCGCCTACAAAGTGCTATCCTAGATCATCTTCCGTCGTCTATCACCTAAAATGACCGAGTTCGTGGGAAGTTATCAAGCCGGCTTCATCGACGGCCGATCGACAACGGACCAGATCTTCAGCGTACGGCAAATCCTCCAGAAAAGTCGTGAATACCAGGTCTCAACGCATCATTTCAAGAGCAAATTTTCATTACGTCGAATGTAACAAAAGTAAACAAAGTCGAGCTATCAGTGTCAATCGATTCTCCTGCTATTACACTATATACCCGAATATAGGATCAAATCCCATTTTTAAATTTATTTACCAGTTAAATTGCTTTTTGACGTAATCACCTTCCGATCAAAATAGTTTTCGATGTTACTTAAGTCACCCAATTTCTATGGAGATGCCGTTTGACTTAAGTAACAGCGCTGAGAAACCCGTGAAAAGTGTACGTTCGTCGTTTCGCTTTTTCATTATTAAAGTGAATAAATCGAACTGTTTGTTGCTAAGATGATTTCGGTGGTCCTAAAATGATGAATGGGCTGCACGTAAGGAGACGTAATTGATGATTCTCCCGAATATCCTGGTAAATACTCTTTGACTTAAGTAACAATAGGGGCCACCAAACGACGTATAATAACTTTTGACTCAAAAACCAGTATTTTTTAGCATGAAAGCAAGCGATTTGCATTTGTATGATTAAAACCCTGCTAAATATGTTAAACATTGCTATCACTATGAGATTATATGTGTTTACTTGGAAATAGGAATAACTTTTCGGTCATCAAAACAAAACTTTATTTTTCTCGGATTGGTGCGAATGTTACTTACGACATAATGAAAATTTGCTCTTGATTTGTTCATCGACTTTAAGGCGGCATACGACAGTATCGACCGCACAGGCACAGAGCTATGGAAAATCATGAACGAGAACGGCTTTCCTGGGAAGCTGATCAGACTGATCAAAGCAACGATGGACGGTGTGCAAAACTGCGTAAGGGTTTCGGGTGAACTATCCAGTTCATTCGAATCTCGCCGGGGACTGCGACAAGGTGACGGACTCTCATGCCTACTCTTCAACATCGCTCTAGAAGGTGTAATGCGACGAGCCGGGCTCAACAGCCGGTGTACGATTTTCACGAAATCCGGTCAATTTGTGTGCTTTGCGGACGACATGGACATTATTGCAAGAACATTTGGAACGGTGGCAGAACCATACACCCGCCTGAAACACGAAGCAGCAAAGGTCGGACTGGTGGTGAGTGCGTCAAAAACAAAGTACATGCTAGTAGGCGGAACCGAACATGACAGGATTCGTCTAGGAAGTAATGTCACGATAGACGGGGATACTTTCGAGGTAGTGGAGGAATTCGTTTACCTTGGATCCTTACTGACGGCTGACAACAATGTGAGTCGTGAAATACGAAGGCGCATCATCAGTGGAAGTCGTGCCTACTACGGGCTCCAGAAGAAACTACGGTCAAAAAAGAGTCACCCCCGCACCAAATGTACCATGTACAGAACGCTAATAAGACCGGTGGTCC